TGAAGAAAAATGATAAGAGTAATAATTAACTAATATATGATAAAATTTTATAAAAATATTAGACCAGAAATACTCCTGATTTGATATCATCTACTAAGAATCCCATTTTTTTTTGCCAAAATACTTCAATTCATGTAACATAAGTAAGATCCAAATCCGACACCACCAAATTTAAATAAATCTCTGAAATATAATACTTACATATACTATTTCAAATCATAATGGAAAATTCATTCATGTAACATAAGTAAGATCCAAATCCGACACCACCAAATTTAAATAAATCTCTGAAATATAATACTTACATATACTATTTCAAATCATAATGGAAATTGAATTTCGATATAATAAACAATTTAGTTATTAATTTAGGATACGAAAAGTAACGAAAACTTAAATAAGAAATATGTAGTCGGTAGGGCTGGCAATGAACCAAACCAACTCGAAGATAGTTCGGAATTCGACTCGACAATTAAATCGTTGAACTAGGTTCATGAACCAAATGAGTTGAGTATGAGCGAAAAATTAAGTTCGTTAACTAAATGAGCTGAACTTGAACTATACATAGTTCGACTCGTTAGGTTCATGAGTCAACTCGATTACATATGAAAAGAATTATACTGTCTTTAAGATTAGGTTTAAATATTTACTTTAAATCTTAGACAAATTTAATCTTAAATTTAGTAGTTTTTGAATTAGACTCTCAAATGTATCTCTTTAAAGTTGTGTAGGTTTTGAATTAGTAGATTTCGAAGATAAAGTTAAATTTCAATATGATAACTTTTATTTTATTTTAATATTTTATTTAAAAAATATATATTTATTTAAAATGTCAAACATACTAAAAAATATATATATTTAAAAAAATAGTTTTTAAGTTCGTGAACCACGTGAGATGAACCTAATGAGATGAACCTAACGAGTCGAACCGAACTGTTCGTGAACTTATAACGAGTCGAGTTTGAGCTTAAAAAAAAGTCCGTGTCGAACTCGAACTCGAACTCGAATTCAAAAAATTCTTAACGAGTCGAGCCGAGCTGAGGTGAGTTCGACTCGACTCGACTCATTTCCAGCCCTAGTAGTCGGATAAATTTACAAAATCTAATGCATAAACCCTAAAATTGGAAGCATTCAAATGAAGAAAAAAAGTGTATCTAAAAATGCGAAATCATAAAAGAAAAGAGATGGATCAAGCAGATAAGAGTGATACCAAAATTTTAAACTCGTTAAATGAGTTTAAATTTTTAACATAATGTGCTGATTAATCATATAATATAATTTATTCATGTAGATTATCCATGCAAATTATAATAACTTATGCTTTCAACAAGTGAGTTGATTGAATATGATTGCATATAAGATTAACCGGAACAATTACATAGACACGATAATTACAATGATTGAAACAACGGTTAACAATAACTATAAAATGTATCTAACCAAGCTCTGATACCAATTGAAGGGTTTAAATTAATTTAATAGATACAAATTATAGTATATTGTTATATTAAAGAATAATCGAAAATAGTAAGAACGATGTACCTTGTAGGATTTGAGAGACGGCTATCGGAAGAGTGTGAGTATGAGAGAATTACTACCCTCATTGTCGTTTAGGATTTTAGGAGTGAGTTAACTGTCTAACAGGGAGACACTTAAATAGCTAAACGACTTAGGGCAGGGACCTCTCGTTGGGCTTAACTGAATGGTCCAACCCATTACGGTTCATTCAGGCACAAAACTCAATCAAACAATTCATCTATTTAGTGTTTAATAACAATAAACCATAATATAATTAATTATGTCAATCCATATTTGATTAATGAAATAATAAATCTAACAATCTCCCACTGGGATGGCAATAATTAATTATTAAAAATATTGATTCTAGTATTAGAATATCAATAATGGTCAAAACACTAATAAATCAAAAAGAAGTAAATTTCAACGCTACAGAAATTATATCTGATAGGTAAGATAAATCATACATGTTAAAACTCACAAATTTATCTAAAGAAGGATGACTTTAGGGTAACATATTTAACTTCCGAGTAATATGTTATAAAGAATGGTCCAAGCATATGAAAATGCTATTGATAAACTCCCACTAACCCAAAGTATCATAAGACTTACTCATGTGTATAAGTCTATGGTTAGTGATTATACTAATGAGTTTTAAATTATAGGTCATAGAATATCCACATAGGTCTAAGAATAGTAATTACATATAGTGATACCCTATTAACAGAGTAATTACATTTAATTATAAGTACCTTCATAACACAATATCATACTCGATAGGAGTATTGATATTTACTTGTACTTTCATATTATGACCTGACAAATGTGGACTATTGAAGATAGAATAACATAATATTATTGCACGATAAAGAATTATTGTGTCTTTTCAATATCAACCTAAACATCAAATTATGATGTTTCCTGAGATTAAGAGAATAATATATATCTCAGTATAGCCGAATAAGACTTCTTATAATTATTTTATATTTTGAATTCCTTTTAGAATATTTCATATTTACAGTGCGCGCAAGAATATATGACACTATGAGAATAATAATCCAAAATTTTTAGATTATATGATTGTGTACACATGCACTCCACTCCCACTAATCCAATATGATAAGGATTTATCAGAGGCCACTAATATTAAATACCCTGATTGAACAACAAGATGTTAATTTTATTTTTAGTGCAAAATTATACAAAGAAGTGGTTCTATAATATATCATCAAACTCAACCACATATTTTGCACGTCAATAGAATATATCCTTATTTAGATAATTTCACATGAAAGAATATGATGGTCATATAAAAGATTTACCATCTTTTTAGTGAGATCAAATCCATATAATTTAAAATAGAATATAGGACTTTATACGATATATTAGTAACTCGCTCAAAGCTCAAATGCTACAAGTATAACTATACACATTTGAGAAACATATTATGTTATACGCAACGAAAAAATATGAGACTTTAATCAAATTTAATATTGAGGATATAACATAAGACTAAAATATCCTCAATATAAGTCTTTATAAAATAATACTATATATTAAACAAATAATATTTGTTTCTGATTTCTATATAATTGACATGTTAAATTCTCCCACTTGATAGAGAATAATAGTTGAATTATTAATATTAGAATTTTAAAATATTTAAACAAATATTCAACTATTTTCTGTATCACACAATAATCATTCAAGTAACGTCACACTGATAGAGTATGTCCATCACTTACATAATACATAGAGAATTGAAATTCCACTACGCTAAAATTGATATTTTGTATCGCCTAATTTAATAGCGCTTTTAAAGAAAGTGATATTAAAAAGGAAACAAACACATCTATAATAGCACTTTATAGTCGAGCGCTATTATAGAGTACAGAGAATGTGGTTTTGATAGCACTTTGTAAAAAAGCGCTATTAATATTCCTCACTAAGATAGCGCTTTTAAAATAAGTGCTATTAAAAAGGAAACAAAATGTGATTTTGATAGCACTTTGTAGTGAATGCTATTATTAAACGTTACTAAGATAGCGTTTTTTTTAAATGCTATTAATATTCTTCACTAAGATAGCGCTTTTAAAAAAAATGTTACTAAACGTTTTCACTAAAACATCACTTTTCACTAAGATAGTGCTTTTTTTAAAACGCTATTAATATTCTTCACTAAGATAGCGCTTTTCAAAAAAACGCTATTAAAAGTTTTCACTAAAATAGCACTTTTCAAAAAAACGCTATTATTAGATATATTATAAAATGTAAAATAAATAATAAAGTTAATTAAAAAACTAATATAGCGCTTTTCAAAAAAGCGCTACTAAAAATTTTCACTAAAATAGCACTTTTTAAAAAAGCGCTATTATTTGACTATATTATAAAATATATAACAAATAATAAAATTAATTAAAAAAACAAAGTGTACTTTCCTAGATTTACTTTTCGTTTTGGCACACAATTTTTGCTACTACCGCAAAAATTAGAACACATTCTTCCACTCCATCTCCTTCCTTTCTTCAATCACGCCATCTCCTTCCTTCAGTCATCGATTCACCGTCAGAAAGAGGAAACACAGTTGATTCAGATTCACCTTGGATGCACCACTCGAATAGAAAGAGGAAACAGGGAAAGAAAGAACAAAGAAAACCTATTCTCCGTCGAACTCAGCCCTTCTTCAGCTCACCACCGTCACCCATCTCTTCATTGGTATCTGGTAATCTTTCTTTTCTCATATTATTGCTTTGTGTTGTAAATTGTAAAATTAGGGATTTGAATTTGAAGATAATTTAGTTTCTACCATTGTTGACTAATTATAATTGAATCCCTAATTTTTCCGAGCTTTAAGTGAATCCCTAATCTGAATCAAAATTGTCAGTCACAGTTTTATCTTCGTCGGTATTAGACTATGGTTCATCAAATGAATTAGCTATCCTATTCATATTAGGAGTTTTATTGTTAATATTGGTAGCAGTGGATGATTGAGGATCATCATTGATTTGGTTTTGCATCGTTTGAGCATGAGCCAGATTCTGCCCCCAATGTCGTTGTGATGGTATACTGACACCACACAGTGCTAAATTTTGATTTGGGATTGAAAGTTTATGTTGTGAGCACTTCCCTCATCACTATGTTTGCGTGATTTTTTACTGTCATTTAGTATTATCCTCCTTATCTTTCTTGCAATTGAAGCAGTTTTTTCCTTATAACTAAAACCATGTGCATCCATAATGGAAGTATGAGTCGGTTTAGTGGTTTGATTAGTTGAAAAAACTCTACAAAGAGAAATAGTGTTAAGAGGAGGTAGGATAAGGATTAAAAGTTGTTAAATATATATTTGGTAAGACAATTTACTACCACCAAGATCACATTTTTAGTGGCTGGTATCTGAGGTTTTCGCGGTCGACATTCATCTTGGTGCTAAGATCGGGCGAGGGATTCTGCTTGATCATGAAACGGGACTTGTAGTTGGCGAAATGGCTGTGATCGGAAACAATGTTGCGATTTTGCATAATGTTACGTTAGGCGGAACAGGGAAAGCTTGTGGCGATCGACATCCGAAAATCGGGGACGGTGTTTTGATTGGTGCAGGGACATGTATTTTAGGGAATGTTAGTATTGGTGATGGTGCTAAGATTGGTGCTGGTTCTGTTGTTTTGAAAGATGTTCCTCCAAGAACTATTGCTGTTGGAAATCTTGCTAAGTTGATTGGTGGAAAAGATAACCCTATCATGTTGGATAAGATTCCTAGCTTTACTATGGGTCATACTTCATATATTTCTGATTGGTCTGATTATGTTATCTAGAAACCTAAATTTTCTATAGTTACTACAAGACACATTTTGTTGGTGCAAAGGTGAATAAATGATGAACAAAGGAAATATTCTATTAAGAATGACGGCTACAAAACATGATTAAAAGTTACAATGATTGTCACCCTATTTATAAGCTAAAACTAGGGTTACTAGAATAAGATAAAATACTAAAATACCCTCTAACAAACTTAGGGGCTAAGGAAAATAATACAACTAAATAAATATGAATTACTATTAATATTCTAATACCATCCCTTAATTCATATTCCATCAAAACTTGTAACAACAATTCCATCCCTTAGTCTGAGAAATTGATCAGTCTTGACAGCTTTCGTCAGAACATCTGCCAACTGCTTCTGAGTGCTGCAGTGTACAACTTCTAACACTCCACTCTGAACTTGATGTCTCAGAAAATGATACTTGGTCTCAATATGCTTGCTTCTCCAATGCAACACTGGGTTTCTGGCAAGATTGATTGCAGACTTGTTGTCAATCATCAACTTTAGAGGTTTGTCTACTTTAATCTTCAGATCCTGCAACAGATTCAGAATCCACACAGCTTGGCATGCAGTAACAGCACCTGCAATGTATTCAACTTCACAGGTTGACAACGCCACAACAGGTTGCTTCTTGGAACACCAAGAAATGGAACCTCCCAGAAATTTGAACAAGTACCCAGATGTACTTCTTCTGTCAACTCTGTCTCCACGCCAATCAGAGTCTGAATAACTCAGAAGTTCTGACTCATTATTTCCTCCAGAGGGAAATAACACTCCATACTTCAGAGTTCCTTTGATATACCTCAGAATCCTGACAGCAGCTTGGTAATGGGACCACTTAGGTTTACTCATGAACCTACTAACCATCCCAACTGAGTAGCAAATATAAGGTCTGGTATTGCACAGATACCTCAGAGAACCAACCAACTGTTTGAAGGTTGTAGCGTCCACATCCTTTCCTTCAGAGTCTGAATCCAGTTTCTGATTTGTATCAGAAGGTGTGACAGCAATCTTACAATTCTTCAGATCAAATCTCTTCAGAAGTTCTAATTCATACTTGAGCTGATGCAAAATGATACCTTTCTCAGAATATCTGAACTCCATCCCTAGAAAGTATGTCATTTTGCCTAGATCAGTCATTTCAAATTCATTCATTAGAACCTTCTTGAACTTGGTTATCTCCTGTTCAGAACTTCCATTCAGCAGTATATCATCAACATATAAACATACCAGAGTCATATTGCCTTCAGAAGTATGCTGAACATAGACACCGTACTCCATCTCACATTTCTGAAAGCCTTGCTTCTTGAAAAATGAATCAATCTTCTGATTCCAAGCTCTGGGCGCTTGTTTCAATCCATATAGAGCTTTGTATAATCTGTACACCATCCCTTCCTGATTCTTTTTCACAAATCCAGGAGGTTGTGACACGTAAACTTCTTCTTCTAATGGACCGTTCAGAAATGCAGATTTTACATCTAAATACATCAGAGGCCAATTCCTGTTAGCAGCTATTGCAATCACCATTCTGATTGTTTCATGTCTTGCTACAGGTGCAAACACTTCAGAGTAATCCAGCCCAGGTTTTTGTAGAAATCCTCTGGCTACCAACCTTGCTTTATGTTTGCCAATTGAGCCATCTGGCTTTAACTTCTGCTTGAAAACCCATCTGACGCTAATGGCTTTCTTATCTTTTGGAAGTTCTGTCAGCTTCCAAGTCTTGTTTCTCTCTATAGCATCAAGTTCTTCTTTCATGGCCTTCAGCCAGAGCTTCTGCTTAAGAGCCTCCTCTGTACTTATAGGTTCAGAGTCTACTAACATGGCACACTGAATAACTTCTCCTTCAGAGTCTACTTCAGTGTCTTGCAGCATGTCAAATTCTGCAAATCTTCTGGGAACGCTTCTGATTCTTTGTGGTCTCTGAACTTGTTCAGAGTCTTGAGCTTCAGAGTTTCCAGCTTCAAATGGTTGACTTCCTCTAGAGTTTTGACCATCTTCAAGATCTGGCATATTTTCAGAGTCTTGGCCATCTTCAGAGTCTGAATTGCCACCAGAATCTGGATTACCATCAGAGTCTGGATCATCAGAGTCACCTTCATCTTCTGAGTCTTCTCTAGAGTCAGAATCACTATCAGAGTCAGAATCAACGTCAGAGTTTACTTCAACTTCAGAAATTCTTAACTCTGACCTTTCTTCAGAAGTTCTAACATCAGAATCAGATTGAGACTTATCCCAATTCCAAACTTCTGATTCCTTCACAATCACATCTCTGCTGAATTCAATTTTATTGGTTTCTGGACAATAGAGCTTGTATGCACCTGTACTGTGGTACCCTATCAGAATCATCACTTTGCTTCTATCATCCAGCTTCTATCTTCTGGCTTCTGGAACATGTTTATAACAAACAGAACCAAACACCTTCAGATGACTAACACTTTGCTTGTCTCCAGTCCACTTCTGCATAGGAACTATTTCCTTCAACTTCTTCGTAGGACATTTGTTGAGTACATACGTTACAGTGGCAACAGCTTCTCCCTAGAGCTTCTGAGGAAGCTTCTTCTCCTTTAGCATGCTTCTCACCATATCAAGCAAAGTACGGTTTCTTCTTTCAGCAAGACCATTGTGTTGAGGGGTATAAGGAGCAGTAACCTCATGCTCAATTCCATTCTCCTCACAGAACTTCTGTAACTCTTTGGAGTTATACTCACCTCCACCATCAGTTCTAAGAATCTTCAACTTCTGACCACTCTGATTCTCAACCTTCATTTTGAATTTCTTGAATTCATCAAACACCTCGTGTTTGAACTTAATAAGGGATACCCATGTCATTCTTGTGAATTCATCAAAAAATAACACAAAGTATTTATTCCCTCCAATTGATGCTACTGGAAATGGACCACACACATCAGAATGTACAACTCCCAAGGCATGTTTTGCTCTTGGAGCAACTTCTGACGCAAATGGCAAACGTGGTTGTTTTCCTTCCATGCAAACTTTGCATGACTTCTCAGGCTTCTTAATTGCAGGAATTCCATGTACCAACTTCTTTGAATTCAGATGTTTTAAGCTTCTGAAATTCAAATGACCAAATCTTCTGTGCCACAGCTCACTCTCCTTCTCAGCACATGTTGCACTAAGACATTCTGAGTCTGCAGTTCTGACATTCACCTTGAATGTTCTATTCCTTCCCTGTTCTGACTCCATAATCAGCTTCTGATTGCAGTCATACAGCTTCAAAAGATTGTCCTTCATGGTAACTGAAAAACCTTTCTCAATTAATTGTTCCACACTCATCAGATTGCTTCTGATGCCAGGTACATACCACACGTTCTGAATCAATGCTGTTTTCCCATTGTTCAGAATCACTCTGACATTTCCCATACCTTCTGTATTAAGATATTTGTCATCAGCACATCTGATCTTTGTTCTCTTTTCAGAGTCAAAGTCAACCAGCCATTTTTTGTTTCCAGTAAGATGATTTGAACAGCCAGTGTCCATATACCACTAGTCTATCAGATCCATATTATCAGATTCAGAAGCCATCAATAGCACAGATTCGTCATCAGAACTTCTGGCTATATTTGCTTCTTCTGATTTTCTCTCCTTGTTTGACCAACACTCTCTAGAAAAGTGACCAAACTTCTTACAACAGTAACATTGGATCTTCTTCTTGTCATACTTCTCTTTTCCCTTCTGAGCATTCTTTTGTCTATCAGAGGTTGAGCTTTCTGACTTCTGACCACCATCAGATCTTCTCTTGGCTTCTGACTGCTTCTGATACCTCCTATCAGAAGTTGCTTTCAGAGCCTGCTGCTCTACTTCCCTTTCAGAAGTTCTCTCAGTCAAACTCAACTCTTGCGCTTCTAAACTGCTCTGCAGCTCTTCAATTCTCATGGTACTCAGATCTTTGGAATGTTCTATTGCTACCACAATGTAATCAAATTGAGAGGTAAGGGATCTCAATACCTTCTCCATGATTGTTTCTTCAGAAAGAGTTTCTCCACACGTCTTCATCTCATTAGTGATCAGAATCACTATGGAGATGTATTCAGAAACTTTCTCATTATTCTTCATGTTGAGATTCTCATATTGCTTTCTCAAGGACTGAAGCTTCACCTTCTTCACTGATGCGTCACCACCATAACATCTAACCAGTGTGTCCCACGCAGCCTTTGCTGTCGTTGAATCTGCAATCTTCTCAAACACATTTACATCAACACATTGATGAATAAAGAATAATGCTTTCTGATCCTTCTTCCTTACTTCCTTCTGCGCGTTTTTCTGTTCATCCGTTGCATCTGCTGCTACCGGAACATAACCATCAGTGACAAGATCTAAAACATCTTGAGCACCAAACAGTACACGCATTTGGATCATCCAACGATTCCAGTTTTTACCGTCAAATACTGGAAGCTTGGTGTTCATGTTGCCGTTTCCGTTCATCTTCACCTTGCACAATACACTCAGATTTCTCACACAGTGTTTTCCAACCCACAGAATAAAATTCTGATCAGATTTTGTTCAAGATTCAACACAAATCTAAGAATCAAAATCAAACACACAAGACCTCACGTTCACTCGTGTTTCCCGTGTTTCCCAATGAATCTGAACCGGAGCTCTAGATACCAATTGTTGGTGCAAAGGTGAATAAATGATGAACAAAGGAAATATTCTATTAAGAATGACGGCTACAAAACATGATTAAAAGTTACAATGATTGTCACCCTATTTATAAGCTAAAACTAGGGTTACTAGAATAAGATAAAATACTAAAATACCCTCTAACAAACTTAGGGGCTAAGGAAAATAATACAACTAAATAAATATGAATTACTATTAATATTGTAATACATTTAACCGATTTTGGCCGTTGATTGGTCTGACTCAGATCATACGAATCAACGGACATGGTGCCGTGTTTAGTTTAAATTAGTTGCTTAGAGACTAATCTTTGTTATGTGAAAGCATATGTATTATATATGAAAATGAATT